AGAGTTCGAGGGGAGCTCACAGCTCGGCGGCCTGGCGCACCTTGCACATGAGGTACGCGCTCTGGAACGGACCACGGCCGATGGCGAGCGGAGTGTCGAGACCTTCAGAAGCTAGCCCCTCGCCGTCTCTTTTCCCGGTACGTCAAGTGCAGCCGTGAATGTGAGCTCCAATGTCGCCCGCGAAGCCTTCGTGCGTGCACCAGCGTGTAGGGCGGAAGAGCGGTCGAAGTACGTACGCGCAAAAGAGACCGTCAATCCCCTCCTCCTCTTCCCTCGACTCGGCATGCAGATCCTAGTCCCCGTCGACATGGACACGGGTGCGGGGGAATTCCTGGCTTGACCTGCAGCTTCTTCTGTGCGCATTGCTGCCCTAAACCCCCTCGCACGGCCCACACGTCGCGCTCCACATGGGTGCGCGGTGGACGCGAGGCATGCAGGCTGAGGGCAGAGAAGACAACGATGGAGAAGGATTTGCTCCGATCGATGGTGGGGATAGGGCGTCGCCGCGGGGAGAACGTCGAGGATGTGGGCAGAAAATGGACCATCCAGAGCCGCGATGGGGGTCGGGTGATGTTGCAGTAGTACCAGGACTCGGGGGTGGGGGGAGGGAGCAGCTCCGGAGGGGGAGGGGAGTTGCCATAATCGGAGGGTTGGAAAATGGAGGCGCGAGGTCGCTCGCTCGGCTTGTTCTCCTCCCCCCCAGGTCAACCTCGGTCTCGTCTTGGTCTCCCAGCACGATTTCGTCGCCCGATGTCGCCCGATGCAAATGGATCAAAGACTGAAGGAGTGCCGGGTGAACAGAGTGCTCAAGATTTGCTGACATCGTCTGGACCCCAACTCGAAGTGACCCCGCCGACGCTGGTCGGTCACGCCCAGCAAACGGACTCACTCCTGTTGCCTTTACCGCAATAACGTCTTCATGAGATCACGCCAGACAGCAACAAGACTCGATAGCTTACTCATGCATTTTATCTGCTCGAGGGACAGTGGGGTGCGTCTTCCCAATCGTGACCAATTCATGTTAATCAGTTGACTTTGCTCGTGCATTATCTTCTCGTCCATTCGTTGCTGCTCGTTGCTGCTCCTACTTGCAATGTGAACACATGCGCGTCCGACCAATATATAAACGCGACGCCAAAGTTTTATGCAGTGATATCTGCACTGTGGTGGAAGACACTGGTAGAGGTACGTGTCATATCGAGTTTCCCTAAATGTTTATTCGGATACCTCCGATGTCCCCATGTCTGGCGACACATCCCTGGAAGAGGATGGGCAGAGAAGAAGGGCGTCATGGTTTGAAAGTGAGAACCACTTAGCTCACGTGTTGTCTCTGTCGAATACCTCCGTTCCGCGACGATTTTATGCAGCGATATTTGCACTGCGGCGGAACGCAGCGATGGTACGTGTCATATCGATTCTCCCCAAATGTTTATTCGGATACCTCCGATGTCCCCATGTCTGGTGTTACGTCTCTGGAAGGAGATGGGCAGAGAAGAAGGGCTTCATGGTTTGAAAGAGCGAACCACTTAGCTGACGTGTTATCTGTCGAATACTTCCAACCCTTCCCAAGTTCTTCCCTTCAGAACTACAGAGCAAGCCGAGAGGAAACCCAGACGATGATCCCAATTTTAATGTCAGGTGGGTCGAATTACAACTGTTGGAGGATGCGCTGAGATGTGTCGATGACATTGTCATCGTCGACAGGAGGACTGAGAGCGGGGCCGTTGACACGCACCGTTGCTTCTTTGGTTTGACAGACCACCCCGCATGCAGCTCCCTCGTTGAAAGAATAGTGATGCTTTGGAGATCGAAACATAGGTGAATCGTAACCCTCCAGTCCAGGTCCCCATATCGCAATTTCGAGCTGAGCAGCGCACCTTTTTTCCGTCCTACAGAACTGCGGTAAAGTCGCACGCTCGCGCTGGTACGTCTGATTCCTTTTGTGGGTACCGTGCAGAGTAAACTTGAGAGGGAATGGCGGCTCGACAAGGAACGGCTGCTCGACGAGGGTGGGGGTCTACGAGATGATGAGAGAGGCGTCACTGGCGCACCCCGCCTTGGTCGCCGTACCCTGCTCGGGCCCACGATGACGTCGGTTTGACTTCGGGTCTCATGAACACCCAACCCTCCTCTTCCACCCGCCGCCGGTCCTAAGATCTCAGACCTCCCCTCCGTACACTCGCAAGCCTGAGAGAGGTGAGTTCTTCCCCCTTGGTTTCTGTCTCTGTCCAGGCGATGCTCCCCGGACCAGGAGCGGCCTGGAGCGACTCGCGCGCCGGAGTAGTTCGAGCAGGGGGAACGCCCCTCTTTCAGGCTCTCCGCTGAGCACTCCGTCCCCCGCCGTCCCGTCATCTCCGTCCGCAATCGCAGTCCTCCAGGGCGGGGCGGGGCGCCTCGGCGTCGGGTCTTCCGATAAAGCGCAGGGGATTAAGATTTACTTAACGACAAATACCACACTTGTATTTAAACCGGCTTACCACGCTTCCCGCGCGTGGCCCAGCGTTTGGAGGACAAACGCGAATTGCGCTCCATCCCTCCACCGAAAATCGTGAAATAATAGACTTAGCTAGGGTGGCTCCTCACAAACCTATGTGTGAAGTGTCGTGCTCCCCCAGCGCAAGCTGCGTCCGATCTTGAGTATGCAAGTTGTACGGATCCCACCGAGGGAAGCCTAGATCTCACCTTACATGGTCTCGACTGGGCGCCGGGTGACCGCATCTGTGACGAACACTTGAGTCAGTGGATGACGTTCCGTAAGGAAATGCGGAGCTACGGACGCTCCGTAGTTCTCTACACGCCCAATGGTCGGATATAACTCAGGACATCCGGTAGCGGAAATATCTCACGAGATCGTTCTGATTCCCCACTCGTGTCAGACTGGAACTGCCGCACCTATGTTTTTGTACTTGTCGCGTGAAACATTCTGAATGGACATCGCTCCATCACTGTGGTGTGTCGGCACCGTGTCTAGTGATGAGCCCCAGGACATACCGTCAGAACCCCGACTGAAATGTCCCAGTCATGACATTACCAAGAGGGCACCGCGCACATGGCATGATAGTGAGCATGTAGAAACGGTACTAGCAGGTGTATTATCGGGAATGGTATGCAGTATCGTGCGACGATCAGAGGGAGCATGCAGGCAGTATGCAGTGTGCAGATGCGAGAAAGCTACGTACTGAAAGCGATAATAGTGCAAGTGATGTAGGATGGACGGAGCATGTGCGGGGAGGTATGGTGGCGTGTACACAGTGTGATTAAGGAGATGCTATACGGAGTCGGCGTGATGAAGGGATATGGACTCTGACACTGAAGGCATGTACCGTTGGACGCGATCGTCGAGACTCAGAGCTCTGAGGAACAAGTCGACGAGTGGACAACTCAGTCGTACCACAGCATGGCCTGCTCGATGGTCTCTTGCCATGGGAATGGGGTCGACTCGACAACGGTGAGCGGAGAGGACCCAGCGCCTTTGGGCTTGTACTTCTCGAGATCGGATTGCAGCTGCTCATTGAGATACCTGCATCGAAATCGAATCAGTGTCCGAAAAGTAACACTATAGACCGGATCCTGACCTCTGCCACGCACGGGCCTGATTCTCGTTGTCGTCCTTGTAGAGGTAGCTGATGTGACTCCTCTGGTGGTTCAACTGGGCATCGATATATTTCCAGAGCTGGTTATGGTCATATTCGCCCACCGCGGGTGCTTGAGGTGCTTGAGAATTGTCGCCAGCAGTCGGGGGCACAGAGCGGCGTTCATTCGTGTTGGAGGTGCCGGACGCACCCTGCTCGTCGTTGCCGTTGCCGTTGCCGTTGTCGTTGCCGTCACTGCCGGTTGTGGGGGTGGGCGACGGCTGAGAAGGTGCGTGGTTGGGGCACTTGTGCACCTCATGCAGACCGGTGAAGAAATCGACCACCAACTGCCGCTACAATTCGATGTCAGCACTGGAGAGTAATATTGATGAAGTGCGAAACGTACCAGCACAGCAAACCTGAGCAAATGGGCATTGGTTATCGCGACCGAGGTGTTCTTGGGAATCAACGACTGCGCCAGCTGTACGAGATTCTTCGGTTTCCCGATCTTCCAGTCATGCTTGACTCCAGGCGGCAACTTAGAGCCGAGCGATTTCAAGATCTGTGCTCAGGACGATAAGTACTGGAAGCCCGTCAAGCTGGAGCGTACTCACCTTCTGGCGAATGACCCCACGAGCTCGTGCATTCAATAAAGCAACCTTCCCAGCGGCCTTCTCGAACACGCCGTAGTGTTCGTGGATGTCAAGAGGGAGGCCCATACTCCCAGGATGCATCCTCATGAGATTCTGGAGTGGGGCGATTGGCTCAAGCGGGATTCAAGATGCTAGACACATACCGTGACTCTGTCTTGCGTCTGGTCGAGGTAAGAAGGAATATTGGGAGCCAAGAAGCATACTTGAATGCGGTAGGAGAGTGAGATCTGCCATATCGGTTGTCGCGACAATTGTGCTCAGCCTTGCGGCACGTGCTATGAAATGGATAACTCACCTCGAAGTCGCCCGTCATGACGTGCTTAAGGAGATCGTCCCGGCGATCATGCTTCCTGCTCAGCATGGAATCAGCCTTGAGATGGATTAACATGTGGGCAGGACTTGGGAGCTAGGTAATGGTTGTTAACTGCACCAGTTGGCAGAGAGATGAGCAAACGACTGACCTCTGCAAAGCGCATCAGCTCCTCCCGGTCAACCCCAGCGCTAGTGGCGACCGCGTTCGCTTCGTCTCTGTGACGCTTTCGCTGAACCTCAGTGTAGTTGTCGTCGCTGGGTCGTGGGCGTCGTAGAGCGACATTCATGATAGGAGAGTCGAGGAAAAGCGGGGTCCGCTCCAATTCACCTCGGAGTTCGTTGCGGACGGGGCTGAGGGGAGCGTCGGGGCCCCCAGGAGTCGCAGCATCTTGATCTCGTCCTTGCGTGGACGGGGGCGGGTTTGCGGTGGCGCGCTCGAAGATGCTAAGCATGGGATGAGAGCAAAGCACAGGCCGGTGCAGACAAGGGACATGACGGTGGACGGAGGGGGGGAGGACATCCACGACGCGCGCTGGAGAAGTGTCTTGTTTGTCTGTATTTGCCTGCCCCGTAAAATGCGCCAAGACGTAAGTGTTGGAGTCGAAAGTGAGCACATTCCTCAAGGCTTTGAAGAACATGCAAGAAGCACTATTTTTTATGTCAAAGAACTACATATTAAAGAAGGCTTCCCGGATTCTGAACGTAGTTTACATCGTGTTCATAGCTGTGATATGCATCCGACGAAGATGCTTCCCAAACTTGAGTTTGCGTGGTGTCGGGAGGGCGAATGAACGGTCTACCGAATGAATGGTGAGAGTCATCAGAGGCTTGGAAGACACTCTGTCTGTGAGGCTGCTGGTATGGGTGTGCTACACCGGCACCCAGCGGGCGCAGCGACGAGTCGGGCCGATACATTGGCGCCGGACGTAGATGTGGATTTGGAGATCGCAGTTGCTGACCGAAGCCCTGCGCCGACGGTACTGAATAGCCATGTGAATTGGAGTAACTCATGGCCAGTGTGCTGGCAGGGGGCGGATGCATGAAGTGAGTCGGATGGGGTTCTGGACTTCCCGCACCGAAGAAACCTGCCGATGACAACTGCGATAGATAGAAGCTTTGCTGTGATGGCATACGTGGTAGTTCTTGCTGCGCCTGGAAGTCTGAAGGGTGTGAGACGGATTGTACGTGTCCAGAGTGCGACGAGAGACTCCCAAAATCGGCCCTGTAAGCACGCTGCATGTGCTCGCTGCGATAGTAGCTAGTCGAGCCTGATGGTGAGGCGGCGAAGTTCCATGGTTGGATCTGGAAGCGTGAAAGACGCGGAATGGATTGCGCGTGGTCTGGGTGTGGTGAAGTACCCGCAAAATTGCTTCCATAAGCGGGCTGCACCTGCTCGCTGTGGTAGCGGGTCGAAGGAAGCATGGCATCTGATGGTTGGCCTGGAACCTGCAGGTGTGAAGGATGTGCCAGAGCGGATTGCTCATGGTCTAGGTATTCAGATTGATCCGCAAAATAAACCCTATTGTGAGCAGTTGATGTTCGCTCGCTTTGGTAGCGAGATGAGACGAGTGCCACGTTGGCAGCGTTGTGCCATTCGGGAAGTAGACAATCTTGTGTCATCCCCGATGCGTGCGGAGCGGCCAAGGTCGTCGAGCTCGATGCCCAGGCCGTGGAACACGTTGTATACGTCTTCACCGAGCTCGACTCGTTCAAGAAAGTTTCTAGCGGAGCGAGCGAGGAGGCGCTTGATGAGAGGGAAGGCTGTTCATTTGAACTACGCTGCTGTGAGAACGATGGAGGGTTGATCGGTGCCAGCGGATCGGATGTGCCAGTGGCTGAGACTTGAGGTGATCGACTACCAGAAACACTAGGATCACCGCATTGAAGTGAAGGCTGGGTCTGCTAGATGAGCATGATCAGTTTACAGTGTAATAGCAAATTTATTCAGGGCAAACTCACAGACGTCGAACTGAGGGGCTGCTGATCGGAGTGCTTGTGTGCACCAGCCTTGGTACGGCTGCCACTGCTGACCGATTTCGGCGTCTTGAGCGCTGCCCGCTTCTTCCGAGGGGCTCGTTCGAATGGTAACACAGTTAGAATCGTATCATCTTCCGGCGCCGGAGTTTGTTGCTGCTCGTTGAGGGGTTTAGACTTCTTTTTCCGCGCTATGAGATTCTGGACAGCCTTTTGACGAACATCAGCTACGTCTGCTTCTGAGACACATGGAGTGTCTAGCTGTAGCCTTAATGCGGGAGGAAGCGCAGATCGGATGTGGTCGTAGTTGTGAATCGAATGAGTATTGAGTATGTACGCGTTCGTCTCGTTGTGCTTGATGACCGCGCGCGTCCTCGTAGACTTCAATCTTTCCTGAAAGACTTGAGAATTCTCGAAATTATTGCACTCCGAGCCTGAGCAGTCGTGCTGGAGATTGATGACGCAAATTATGTCCTGCGGATGATGCAAAGAGACCTTCACAAGGAGAAAACATACAGCATAGAGCGAGGACATACCGATGCGGGAAGTACACACTTTTGAGTGGACATGAAAAGCCGTGGAAGACGAAGGCGATGGTGAAGGGTAGGTAAGAACTCGTGGAAAGTGACAAGGACGTGCGATGCGATATTCTGTCCGGAGTTCATGGGGACGAGAATCTCTTCTATCCGAGCTGGGGAGGTTTTCGACTGCACATGGAAGTATTATATTTCGATTTGGAAGGGTCCCTGGCAGTACGAGAGTGGCATACCTGGTCGTCACCACACGCCGGCGCCGCCTTCACCAACACATCTCCCCCCACGGCAGCAACGTCCCTATTAGTAACAACAACTGCCCGAGCAACGCGGAACCTTTGTCCCGAGAACTGAGCGTACGCGGCTGGATCCTGGCCCTTCAGGAAGCGACCAGTGTGTGTATTGCTCCATATCTTCACGCTAAGCCCGGCCGAGTCTGGTACAAGTCTTGATGTTCCTGCAGCGGGACTAACCTGTTAATGGAATGTACGCACACTATAAACTTCGC